TCATATTGTAATGTTTACTGCTGTTTATTTTAATTTTTATGTTGAATTTGTATTGTGGCTTTTAAATTTTTGCAATATTCAAACAAGGATTTTCCGTTCTGCAACAGCAACTGAAAGAATGAAATGCCCACCAGCAATTTAACAGTATAATTTATTGAGCATACAGCTCTTGAAGCTATGGAACAGTTTCTTTAAAATAAGGATTCTCAAATTTTGTGGAGCTGTGATTCCTAAAATGATAAATGACCTTGTATGACACACCCCAGAAATAGAACTAATGCTTTCACTGGGGTTAGGTCTATGCTAGAAAAAAACCCTATCATTTTCTTTTAATAATTAAAATTTAATCTATGATCACTAGTTCTCAAACTTTGCAGTTTCACAACTGTCCACTGGGGGCTTGCACAGGCAAAATAAGGAGGAAAGACCTGAGTAACTTTGGACTGCCTCTTGCTTTGCCAGTCCAAGCCTGATCAGCTTTTAAAGGAAAACCCTCTCCAAAGTTGAAACACTCCCTCCGGGGGAGTCTCAACTCATAGTCTGAGAACTGCTAAAATATGTGGTTTGGAAAACATTGAAAAATTCAGGTTAAATCAGTCTCAAAACCATTAGAACATTTTACTTTCAATCAGTGTACCAGTGCATTCGTTTTACTGGGACCTGCCTGTACAAATACAAAATAATCACGAGTCTACTTCATTATTCTTTAAATTAGGGTAACCTTTAAAATGAGAACAGTATAAAGTAATGTAATTTGAATAGCATACCAGGAGTTATTCTCATGCCTACTTTGTGGCTCTGGCCAGCTTCCTTAAATCGTTGGTACCCAGCAAGGTTACAACTTATCTAGGACCCAACATATAATTTTTTATGCATTTCTGAGTGAGTCATCCTTTTACTAACATGTCTATACTGCCTTTCTGCAAGAACCGCACCCACCCCCCACCCCCAGGTGGCATACAACAACAATACAGTTAAAGCAAATAGAACATTTAAAAAGTCAAGTTAAAAGATGCATTACAAGTTTCCCCTTTTCTGGAAAATAAGGGCCAGTGACAACTCTTGTGAAGTGCATTCTTCCAACATAATCTTTTTTTCCTCATATCCAGCAAGTGGGCCCCAGAAAATTCAGTGCCCTCAAAACAGCTCCTCCTGCAGAGTTTGTAAGTCATTAGAAAGGCAGTCCCTCCGGCAGGGAGGCCTTAAGCAATTTAAGTCTAAAACCAACAGCTTCCCTTGAGACTGGAAAATAACTGGGCAATCAGATACTGCATGTCTTTCAGTATCGGTGAACACTACTGTGCACTGCTTAGCAAACTTTTTTTTTAAACACACATGTTAAGACTTGGTGTGCCAGGCTGAAATGGAGAAAAATATACAAAGAAACTATTAGTCTCGGTCTGATGTGCATTTCCTTTTCTTTCCCATTTGTACAGGGAGCAAAGGATAAAAGGCTTCCCTGTGTGAAGAAACTAAAGTCAAAGTCACCAAGGAGCAGGCAGCAAAAATGCCACCTTAGGCCTTCTCCAAGAGACTTTGACTTTTCCCTTGTTACCACCATTTCTTCTGGCAGGACTCTCTTTTTTAGCTACGAGGAGACAATATTTCGTAGGCAAACTGTAACTGGGAAACTTTATTTGCTGAATCTGTCTGCAGATGATAGCAGAAAAGGCTAATGGCTATGCTGTAATTAACTGTTTTTAGTAAAAACCAATCTGGGTATATTTTACACCAAAATATTTCTCCTGCTTCCTAATTATCTTTAGTTAATGAACTCTTAACTGATATGGATGCAGGGTTTTTGGGGCAGGGGGATCCCTCTGATAAATCGGTTTGTGCATACGGACTAAAGTGATGTTACAGCTTTGGGCAAAGCTCTTTCTATGCTTCTTTAATTTGTACTAGCCTTTTATTTATTTTAAAAAAGAATTAACAACCACACAGACGCAGTATCTGCCAGTGTAGTCTGGGATACTGACAGCCACAGTCTGGAGTGAACTAACAGTAAACAGCTCCACCACATTTTATTGGCAATTACTGCTGAAGGTCACACATCAGCAGAGAGCCTAAATTCCAGGAAAAAAAAAAAAAGGCTGCCTCTTATGTAACTGCTGCCTGAACGCTGGCAGATGTCCAACAGAGCAGTTCACTGCAATGTAGGAGGAAGGGAGGGGAAGCTAAGTAGGACATCTCTCCGTTTCTTCAGCATCATTAGGGTGCCCCCTTCTGACGAAGCTTAATGGTTAAGACTTACCTCAATTTTTGATTTTCCCTCACGTATCAGTTTGGTTTTATAATTTATTTCTCCAGGGCATTTCAGTATGCACTTCACTTTTAAAATACTGGTTTTTAACAAAATGGTTTAAAAAGGCCTATTTCATCTCTAACTCCTCCTGAAGAAACACAATTTTGCCATATTCATGCTATACAATCACGAGAATTTTTTTTCCAGAAGAACCGCTGTAGAAAGATAGTAATTTTCTTGTTCTTCCTCTATCTTTTACCAATATTATGATGATAAATCTTTAGTTGTATAGTAAAATAGTATAGTAGTATAGTAAAATAGTATCAAAGCAGAAATAGCTACTATATTTCAATGAAGTTACATCCCACCTATTTTAAGATTTTATGCTGGCTTAATTTTAATATATACTGTATGATCAATATGGATTGTAATTATAACAACCCACAGTAATTGAAAACAAAGCACTTCAAGCAAGTGGTTAACATAAATTGTGGTTAAAGTTTCAAAACATGAATTTTAGTGGAAACTGGGATTCCATTCCTAACATAACATACTTCCAGACATTGACTGAATTCAGAGATTGTATCAAGCCAAACTGTGTATGTTTGAAGATTGGTTTGGTGCTGGCTTATTGTGATGTACTATATGAATCCAGAAATTTATGGGGTATGGTCAATCAACCAACTATGGCTAATCAAATCATTGCTTAGTGTGATGTGTGAACCCAGTAATTATTTAAGACTAGAGCTTTAATTAAAAGCACCAATCTTCCAATCCAGTTTTCTTCCCTTGTGCCCTTGTGTAACAGAGGTGAGTATGGGCAGCATAGTTATTGAGAGGTACCAGCTTATATTTTACAAAGGAAGAGCCATTTATGGCCATAGCCAAGAGTGGATATGAACAAGAGATTCCCTTTTGAGTAAACATAGATAGAATCAGGATAGCACGTTACTTTTAATGCTGCTACAGATCTCTGCATTGCTACTTCAGACTAATGCACGTATAGCTCTGGAATATTTGTACTCTTAGTTCTTACTGCTTCTCAAAACAGCATGTGTTGTACCAGTTTAAATGCTATTGTTTAGGGTTTTTTCTAAATGGTCTTATTGCCCTTGGTAATAAGATATATATTTCATGCAATTTCCAAAAGCCATGTTTTTTCTTTTTTTCCTACCATGGGCTATTTTGGGTTAGGTAATTAAATATATATATATACTGAACATACACAAACTCACTGTCTTACAGTAACTTCAGAAAAGCAAAATTAATTTCTGTACCTGTAGAATTCTCTAAGTACGTGGTATATGGTAGCGAAGATAATCAAGTTTCAAAGTTTCAGCAGCAGGTCAAAATTCATTTTACACAGAATGAGAGTTTAAAAAGACATTTGTTTCTCTGTGCCATGTTTTTGTAAGTGGCTGGTGGAAAAAGAAAACACTGTGCTTCCTCAGAAAAGTTTCGGAGAATGTGAATTACTGCCAGAAGACACTTTTAATAAACAGATAGTGCTCATTTCCTATATTTATAAACACACCTGCTGCTAGCATGGAATCCTTCCACTGAAATCAGCCAACAGTTTTCACTGGTAATCAAGGGCTAAATCTTAAACTGAGCTTGATCACAATCCTTGATTTAACACAAAACCCAGCAGAAGTCAGAGTCTTGGGTGGGAGAAAGCATTCACTTGACAGAAAATCTAGGTAAAAATAAACAGTCCAAATTCCATTTATATTTCTCACAAGTACAGAACAATATAGGAAGCTTCTCAACACACTGAAGCCAAATGAATTTGGTTGAAATTACTCTAGAAACAATAAATCTCTATTAGAGCATTCTTGGCTATTTTTTGTTTTTAGTTGACAAACTTCAGTAAAACAAAACAAAAGCTAAGTATGTATTTGACCAACTACTCTACCTAATTTATGCTCTCCTCTACAATATTTGTAATACCAAAAATCCAAAATCTCTGATGCCAATATCTACATGGAGCAGTACCTGATCAAATGTTAATGGTGATTATGAACTATGAGTGGAATTTTGACAGTAGAAAACCCAGCAGACCAAAGGGAAGACTAACTTGGGTTCATCAATGGGCCACATATGGAGGACATGCAAGTCACTTACTTCTACCTCTCTCTGCTAGAAAGCACACACTCCCTAGTGTCAGATAGCCTGACTGCAAAGCTCAAAGGAAGTATACTTTTCCCCATATATCTCTTAGAATCATATGTTCAGTTAGAAAAAATAATTTGTGGGTTAGTTCTGATTTATAGAAATGTAACTGCCATATGAAAATTAACCAAACTAGCTACACAAAACAGTAATTTCCTCCTAGGTACCATTTTTCTTTTAATTATACAGAATGGTGAATTTGGGATTCAGGATTAGATTGCGTCATCATTGCACATTGTTAAATGTTTCTAAATAATTTTTATAAAATAATATGTGAAACGTTTATTTAAAACATCTTGATTATAATGCAGGGGGGAGTTACTCTTTCATGTTCTACCATTTGAAAGAATACAACATGATTAAATCCAAAGAAGATGTTTAGACAATACTCTTGGAGGAAAAAAATACACAATAGAATTAAATATTTCATGACATGGCAAGTACACTCTACTACATCACTAGCACAAATATGAGAACCACAATACATAAACATTGACAAGACAGCACAACATACTACATGGCTACTGACTTCAGAATACCACCAGGGAAGACTAAAGAAACAATAAAGAAAGAAATTCAAAACCTCAGCATTATCCAATTCACCAAGTGCAATCAGCTAAAAAGAAAAAAGAGGGAGACAAAAAGAAATTGAAAATAAATATTAATGAAAGAGAAATGGCAAATAACCAGTTATTAAAAACACTGAGAGTCATAATTCCCACTCTACTCTCAAGCCAGTTGTTTTGTAAAATTGTTGATTCCAAAAAATTGTATCTCATCTTCTCTCCTGAATTCAACACTGGATATAAATATGGCATTTGACATACTAGTCCATTAGCAGGAATGTGCGCATGATCCTATACTAGATTTGGGGAAACCTGCCTAATACAGTGACTTGGAAAATATGGCTGTTCACTCTACTTTACATCATTGTATCATCAAGCATGCATTCCAACAATATTATTCCTTGTACTTTCATGTAAATTTTCCAAAGAAGACACGCAGTAAATTTTTCACTGTGGCAATTAAATGCATTTGATTGGGTGGACCCGAGGGCAGCATTTGTATGTTCCACGAAAAAGATTCAATATTCAATCCCAAGACACCTCATTTTAATATCATTAGACAGGGTGGCTGCTGAAAGCATCCTCTTAATAACCTATAGCCGCTTGGTAGACTGTAGATTAACTATGTTAAAAATGAATACAATTATAATCCACTCGTTCCTCCAAGGGTCCCAGGGCATAAGCCTCCCCTACTTCAAACGGATTGCTCATTGGCTTAATTCAGTACAATGCAATGCCTTATACTTCTGTGTGAAACAAACATAACCATTTAATTTCATCTGCATATTCACAATAAAACTGCAGCTGAAATTTTTGTTGTAGAGCATACTTAAATGCAGCATTATAGAGTAAAGTTGGTTTCTTTGCAGTCTACCCTTTAACAGGAAAAAGAGACTAAATGGAGCTTCTTAGTTTTAGAGACTTTATTATTTTCTCATGGTTAAGCAATATATTAAAGTTGTTCCCGTACTGACATTGTTAAAAAACAAACAAACATATCTATCATAAAATCATAGAACTGGAAAGGACCATTTAGGCCAACCTTTTTCTGAAGTGGTTGAAAAAGATTATATCTCCATACCGTGAATAGATATGGTAAATAAATAGTAGATAAAACATAGGATTCCCTATGTTTTAGCAACTGTTGGAAGGCTATGTTTCTACCTTTAGCTTCTAAGATCACTTTTGCTAAAGCACCATATGCTCAATACATTTACAAGTTGCATTTTCTTCATCTCCTTCTTTGCTACTTATGATGCTACATTAGAAACAGATGTTTCTCAGACTTTCTCGTGATTTGATATTCACAGTTCAATGCCTCATTTGCCATACTATTTCTAATTCAGTTACAATAAGTGATACATTTAAGTAACTTTTCCAGTACAGGTAGCCCCCAATTTAAGAAGGAGTTCCATTCCCAAAGTCTGTCCTTAAGTCAGATTTGTATGTAAAACGGAACCTGCTGTACCGTACAT